GGATGGATTTCATCAGGTCCCATGGACTTCTCTTCAGGTTTTCTCTAAAAGCAGCTTCAACAGCATCAACTGTCCTCTAACTTTCACTTTGCTTTTATATTGCTACCAGGTACCTGTACCAACCAGAAATTTGATGATGCTATCAAGAGGAATGGTGAAGTTATCGAGTCCTTCAAAGAGATGGCATTAGATTGGAAAGTCCCAGATCCTACCAACAGATACTGTAATCCAGGTGTCTCAGAACCAGTTGAGATTGAAGATCATCAGCACTGTGAGCCTTCCAATCTGTGTAAAATCATCTGGTAAGGCATCTTGAGAAAGTGCCAGAAAAATAAGTCCACAAGATAATTTTGTGCTTCACTACATCGACTTGGGTGAACTGCTTATAAGAAATGATGAAAATATGCAGTCTAGCATACCTTGAAAAACTGAGCAGTAAAATGATATGTGAATGTTCCTGAGTTTGGCAAACACTTTTCAGCTGTATCATCAAAATCAGTCCTCTCTCAATAGTGTCTGCTGCTTGGCACTCCCCCTGCCTGTCATTTCTGGAGAAGCCGACCAGGAACTAGCTATAATTCTGTATCTGAAAGCTCTGGACAAAAAGGAACTCAGTCAGAATGTAGTAAGCAGGTGTGTGTGTCTGTTCTTTAAGTAATTCTGTGGTTTAAACCAGGATTGCCAAACACACTAGCATAAAAATGTCAGCATATAAAATTATAGCTGTGAGCTGTTCAGAAGACTTTCCTTCGCAGGTACTAGTTCAACATAAATTGCTTCCTTTCAAAGCATTGTAAAGAATGGGAGGTAAAGCTCACTCTTAATTAATCTGTGTGGGTGTATAGCCTGTCAGAGCAATTTGTAGTTGTATCTTTACCCTGAGGCCTCTGGGTGGGGACAAGTTTGGTTGTGAGTTGAATTCTTCTTTGGAAGTGGCCCAACGAAGTGAAATGCAGTGACTGTCTTCTTGCTTTGCAAAGGAACTTGACCGAGTGCCACAGCGTGGTCCACCCACAGCCCTACTACGAGGCGTGTGTGGCCAGTGGGTGCTCAGAACGGCACCCCAGCTCTGAGTGCCAGAGTGTGCAGACATATGCAGCGTTGTGTGGGCTCCACGGGGTCTGCGTGGACTGGAGGAGGCAGGCGAATGGGCAGTGCGGTAAGCCTGGAAAGACCTGCTTGTGGTGAAAGAGCTCTGGTCTGTTCTTTCCTCACCTACACAACTGTTTGTGTTCTCCCACATCGTCAGGCTTCAATCTTTCCTGAGCTGCTCTGGACCTGAGAAAAAGCAGGAACAAGTCAAAGAGGTTGTTCCAGTCCAGAACTGGCACAAAACAAGTGGGAAATAGGCCCATGGTCTCTCCTGAGCAGCTCAACTGAGAAGCCCTGTGTGTTACCTACCCCTGCGTCACTAGATGGCAACACACAGCTTCTCCGGGAGTGCTTTGCCCTGCTCAGGGGCACCCAGTCATTTAGGGGTAAGCACTACTGCACTACCACAAGCAGCTTGCTGAATCCATCGGTCCCCTCTTGCTGAAGCTGCAGGGGACCCCCTCGCTAGGCAGAAGCATGGGCTGTGCAGACTCATGGGGCAGGCCATGTTACTGTGTGCAGTTCATCCCTTGTGCAAAGAAGAGTACACATAGGTCTGGGCTTTCTAACCTGTATGTTGTAATGCTCCACAGAGGCCAGCTGTTTTCAGGATCAGGTATACAAGCCATGCGGGGAAGCAAAAAGAGACACTTGCTTCAGCAGGTGGGTCATTTCCTAAAGGCACTTTTTCAACTCCATACCTTGAAAATTGATGAGGAAGGTTGGAAGTTCACATTCCCCTGGGAATTAGGTATCTGATTGCCCTGGGACACATTTCTGCCTCTCATTCATTCCTGTTTATATTCTAATTTTACAGAGGAGTCATTACAGAAACCCTTCCATCCCAAAATAACACACCAGTGTTTGTTGAGGGATGCTACTGTCCTGATGGAAAAATTCTGCTGAATGATCATGATGGCATTTGTATTTCCGTTTGTGGTAAGAAATAATGTAAATCGTGGGATGGGAAGGGGTAGCAGCTTGACTACAGGTTCTGCCCCCCATACTGGGGAAGTTCTGGGTACAGAGGAAATGGGGGAAGACCAGTTTCTGCCTGCTTTATGCAGAAAGTGGAACTTTCAGAAGAACAAAGAGGAGGATCTTTGGATGCTTTTTGGCACACAACCTGTGACTTTGCACTCTGGATCTCTCTTTGGCTGTTTCTCAGATTTCAAGACCTTCCTTCTATTCCTGTCCTCCTGCTTCTGCTGTTTTCCCCAGTTCAGTTACCATTAAAGGAATCTGTAATTAATTTTATAGGTTGCACTGCACAAGATGGGTCAGTGAAACAGGTAAGAAAAAAGAAAAACACTGTCTTTGTACTGTATCTGGCTGATGTGACCTATAAAAATGACTGCATGGGTTTCTTCTTTTAATCCTAAGCAGTGAACTGCAAAAGCAGTTTGCGGGAATTGCTGTTTCCTGGTAGAACTACCAGACTTCCCTTCTGGAAACACATATGCCTGCAAAGGAAGGTGTCAATTAATAGTATCTTTTCTTACTGTTCCCTTCTTCTCCCTCTGGGATTTGAACTGTGATCTTCATACAATATAAACTAGGGTAGTTCAGCCCTACATTGTCTTGAAGCAGGCATTCATTAATATAATGCTTCTAGTTTTTCTTTCTGAACTACTATCCCTATTGTTTACACAGCCTAGAGAGGCTTGGGAGCATGACTGTCAATACTGTACTTGCGATGAAGAGACCTTGAATATCTCTTGCTTCCCCCACCCTTGTGCAAAATCTCCACCTATCAACTGCACTAAAGAGGGCTTTGTACACAAAATTAAAACACGTCTGGATGACCCATGCTGCACAGAGACAGTCTGTGGTGAGTAGATAATTCAGATGTCGTAATGTGGTCTCATTTGCCTTTAGCAGCAATCCTCAAGTGAGATCTGGTACCCCACAGGTACCAGATTCAGATAAACACACTGGAGAGGTCATTTCTTCCATCGACATGTCAGGAGCTCTTGCTATCAGAAAAGACCTCTTCTGGTCTGGCTTGTATTCTAAACTAGTGCCATGATCCATCAGACATGTTGGAAAATACCCCTCAGACCATTGGGATGACCAGGTGCTTCAAAGAATCCTCTGGGTCTTCTCACTTATCAGATTAGAGGGCGATTCTTCCACAGAGATTCATCCAGTAAGGGAGAATGTTCTTATCTTTCAGGCTCCCCTCAGGCTTCCTGTGGAGGTTCTTGATATATCTCTGCCCTCACCTTTCCATTTGCATCCTTCCAGTCCCATATGCCCACTACAGCACAGGACCTCCTCATCAACCTGTTCCTAACCCTGGCCATTCCCAGTACCTATGTATGCAGGACAGGGGATCCTGACAATGGTAGTGAGATGGTTTTCTGTTCCTCATCTCTTCATGTTGCCAGGCATAGGTCCATTAGGTTTCTTGGATGCCTTGAAGGGAACAGTGGTCATTGTCACGGTGCTTTGCCTTGCATGTCCCAACCTTTACAACTTCTGCTCTCATTCACTGCCTCTTCATTTTTATCACACTCTGGCTCATTTATCTTTACCCCAATTTGTTTCTCTGTCACTTCTTTGATGTGAAGGTATTTATTTTTTCAGCAATGACATCCAGTGGGGGAAGAGAAGCAGGAACAAGGGCCAGAAGTATATGTCCAGGGAAGAGCTTTACAGTAGAGCATGCTTAGAGAAACTTCACCTGTACATGTCCCAGACTCAAAAAATGTGTGGTTCAAGAATCATCTATATATACCCAATTTCTTAGATGTTCAAGCTTCATGTGCAAGTAACACTGCTGGATGGGATGCTTTGGCTTACTTTATCTCTGTTGTCTATTGCAGAATGTGATATAAAAGCCTGCATTATCAACAAAACAGGATGTGACTTAGGCTTCCAACCAGTGGTTGCTATATCTGAGGATGGTTGCTGTCCTGTTTTCTCCTGTAGTAAGTACCATGTTTCTTTAAGGTGTTCTATTTATTCCTTGAACTACTTAGTTTTTTTCTAAATAAGTCAAAATTGCAAGCAGTATCCTCTCCCCTTCTCTCTCAGCTTTTACAACTGGTGTTTTTTGAGAGGGAGGTGGAGTAACTGGTGCAGGTTCTCTTTAGCTAGTATTCAATGAGTGCAAGTTATTGGTCAGATACTGAATGTCAGCTACATCGAACCCATCCAGAAGCTCTGCTGACAAATTATAATTCCAGATTCACATACCTGACTCAGTTTCTCATTGGCTTTGCTACCAGTAAGGTGGTTAACAATAAAGAAAAGCTCAGTCAATTTCAAGTATGGGTAAAAATCCATGAGGTAAATAGATTTTCCCATATGGAAAATACCAGGATATAGAATTATCCCCCACTTCATGCATAACATCTGAACAGATGTTACATGTGGGCTTCCAAATAACAATAAGCACTATGTACCAGTTATTTTTTTCCCCCTTTTATGTGGTATATTAAGGCTACTGAGTAAGTTCAGTTCTATGTCTCCTCTAAATCACTCACAATTCACAGATAAGAAGAATAACTGTTTACATCATTCCTAGCAAATCCTTTTAATTTTACTTTTTCTTACAGTACCAAAAGGTGTATGTGTTTCTGAAGGAGTTGAATATAAGGTAGGTTTTCTTCCAGATATTTCTTTCCACAGGTTAATGCTGCCTGAGTCAGAATTTTCTGAAGTTTTCTCGTCCACACGCACATAAAAAGTAGGATTAGAATGGCCCATAATTTTTCCCTGACAGTATGCAGTATTGTAACTGTTCCTGAACACGTAATGCTAGAGACCAGTAGCTTGCTTACTAAATGAGATTTTGCCTATATTTTAGAGTCAGTAAGTCAGAATTGTGATTGAATACAAATTTTGAATCTCATTAAATGTTGTAAGATTAACTACTAGGTCAAACTGAGTGAAAATTGATGCATGGAATTTATTAGATATTGTAATAACTTATTTAACACTACTGATGCACTTGGGAGTGTCAGCTTTCTGTTCATTTTGTGTTACTGGCAGTATGAGGTTTTAGAGATCTGGAGGTACTCATTTCAGGAAGTTCTTCCAAAAATAAATCAAAAGCATAACATTCAGTTTTGATAGTCTTGGGGATGTTGTGTTTATTCTAGAACTCACTGAATTCTTGCCATGGCCTGTCTCCTCTCTCTTCTATATTTCCAGCCTGGGGCAATGGTGTCTAAAAGCTCTTGTGAGGACTGTGTGTGCACAGATGAACAGGATGTTGTGACACAGACCAACCATATCCAGTGTGTTCCAGTGAAATGCCAAACCACCTGCCAGCAGGTCAGTGCTGCACACTCAGCCTCCTTGACCATGACCAATGGCTGTTGAGAGGATGTACTGTAAAACTGGCATAGAATAACTGCTTCCTCACTGAAAGATAACAGGATATAATCTTCTATTAGATTTTTTGTAAAGTCCTTTTCAAGATGGTGATTATTTTTGATCCAGCATATTTAAGAGGTCACCCTTGGAGAGATGCCCTGGAGGAAGATGGAGGAAGAACAAGGGCAAACTGACTGCTGAAAGACAACTTTATGCCATTCTATTGGTGTTGCCCATAGTCAGCTCAAAACTTAAGATTGTAAAGAAACTGCGCAATAGTTCATATATTTTCAGATAGTTCTGAGTACTCGTGAGCTGAGAGTTTGCACACAAACTGTTCAGTCTATTACTGAATGTGAGCAGAGTGATTTCTTCTCCATTCTTGCCCAGATAAGGCCAGACCACTGCTAATCCTACAAATGGACAAAACCATTATCCTTTATCCTGAAGCCAGCCACACCCACCAAGAGACCAATGGATACCTAGAACACAGAGGAGGAAATAACTGATGCATGATCTTCACATGTCTGACAGCAGCATTTCTTGCGGATAATCATATCAGATGAAGCACTGGTGGTAGATTGTGCCAGTAATCATACACTGAATGAATTTATTTGGCCTGACTTGTATGTTAGCCAGAAGAACAGCCAAAGACAGAGTCTTGATGGTAACAGCTATACCCAGAAGTCACTATTCAATAAGAGAAAGAATGACCAACTCTGACTGCCAGACTTACAGTTGTTTCAACAGGTTTCTAAAAACAACAGAAATGAAACCTAAAAGTTGGCGTATTTCCTCTGATATCTCCATTGTGGCGCTGATCCAAAGGTGTTTCATGAACAAGACATCAGGTAACATGACTAAATGCAAACTTTATTCCCCCAGGGTTTCCGCTATGTGGAAGAGGAGGGTCAGTGCTGCAGCCAGTGCCAGCAAGTGGCATGTGTGGCAAATTTCCCATTTGGCAATGTGACCATTGAGGTAAGTACTCCCCTGCTCTGCACACACGGCTGGATTATCAAAAAGACCTCAGCATTTTTTGAACCAGTGTCACATATTTTGAGGCTGGGAAGACCTCTAGGAGATTTAAAAGTGTATTTCCAAAGTAAATATAGATGTTTATACAGCTGCTCTCTGCTATGCTGAAAATTATGCATCTCTGGCAGAAATGGAAATCAAGTTACCCTACCCTCCTCCTGACATGCCTCCTGACAGAAAGAATTTGGAGCAGATGGTGACACTGTGTAATACTGGTCTTGCAGAGATGCATGAGCTGGCTTCACATCATGCTGCTTTGATCTGAAAATCTGTCCTTATCTTGCCCTGGAGATACAGGGTTAAATAGTATGAACGACCTGATATAACTGTTCTACCACTAGTTCTGAATTTGCTGAGGCAGAAATCAAAAGTGGCATAGCTGCTGTAGCGTAGTGTAACTTGGTAACACACCCAGGTAATAATACGTCATGTCTTGTGAGCACAATCTTGTGTAGACATGGACTGAGACTCAAGGCTAGCTCTTTGGTTTTATTGCAGCCTGCTATTCCTGTGAAGGGTTAAGGACGCTGTGACAACAATGCTATCGCTTCTCTGGTTGCTATTGCATTCTGCATCTTTTCCATTTCCATTTCATCTTTTTTTCCCTGATAATGTTTCCACGAGTAGGCTTTGCATTTATTTATTAACGTCTATTGTAAAAGACTTCTCTCCTCTTTTACACTTTTTACTTTTCTTCCATCTATTAAAAAACTGTTGAAATCCTTTAAAATATTTATTTTTCTTTTGTGTATATTTTATTCCACATACATTAGCACACCTACCTTCTGGCATTTCTGTTCATACCTCTATGCTCATTCTGCTACCAGCTTTTCATTCTTTCCACCTAGGTGGCCACAGAAGGGATTTTGCATGGGCTAGTAGTAGTTGAAGCCAGTACCTTATTTGCAGATATGATTCCAGATATCTCAACACTTTCAGAGTGATATGAAAAACCTGGTGTTTCTGCCAGTTCATCAACTGTAGTATTTCTGCATTATTCTATTTTTATTGCTATACTGTATTGGGTTGGGTTTGTTTTGTTTTTTGGTTTTTTTTTTTCTTCCTGTTTTTATACAGGTTGGAAAGAGTTATAAAGCTCCATATGATAACTGTACTCAGTACACGTGCACTGAATCAGCGGGCCAGTTTTCCTTGACTAGCACAGTAAAGGTCTGCCTACCATTTGAAGAATCAAACTGTGTCCCAGTAAGTATTTTACAGCCAGAAAAAAAGACTTCTGCAATGAGCCCTGCTGGTCTGGGAGTTTTCTTTACTGTTTTGTATGAGCTACTTCAGTATTTCTTGATCTTTCTGAGCTGATCATCCTTGTTTGAAGGAAATGTCCTTTTTCAACCCTGAATGGAGTGTCCCATGGAAGTAAAAAAAACTGTTTACAAACAACCCACATATTTTACTTGTTGTGGGATAAGCACTAGATTTTGAAAGAGAAGATTATTGGGGCAGTTTTTCATCACGTAAGAAACACCAGTGTTAAGAAATGCAATTGAGCAAAAGGTAACTCACAATGGACCCCTGAGGGAACCAATGTCTTCTGATACCTGGTACATCATTAAGCAAGTAAGTGGTACCTGAATGAGCAATTCATGCCCTGGCTTTCAGCAATTAGAGGCTTCCAGTAACTGTTGTAGGGCTTCACAGCTGATCTGAAAACCAAAGCAGGGACAAAGACAGCCATTAACCTGAATCAGGTTTGGGGCAGGTTCTGCTTAGGTCAGGCTGTTCAATTCCAAGATCAACTGTCATTCCCTGAGGCTTGGGGTTTTGCACTGGCTTCAATAGGACCTACCTAAGGTCAGGCATGTGTAACAGAACATTCGACCTGGCTTGTGAGAGCATATACAGTTTTAAGAAAATTCACTCCCTTCCTTGCTTGTTATTTGTTTGTTTGATTGGTTTTTTAAGCAGTTTTGTATATGATTGGTACACGACTAGGTCTGATGTGGAATCTGTGTAGGTTAGAGATGAGGGAATATACCTGAACTCTCATAGTTGCTGCTAGCTGCTTAGAAATTTGTGCATCTGAACTATTCTGGTTATGTTTGCTTTCAATACAGGGGACAGTTGATGTGACTTCAGATGGCTGTTGTAAGACATGTGAGTGCATCAAATCACTGATTACCTACTCCAACACTATTAGGTTCTCCCCTGCTTGTAATCCTGTTTCTGCATGCACTGGGAGTTTCCAGTTACCAGTCTCAGGACTGTTCTTACAGCAGCAGTGCGGTTTTGTACCTCACAGCTAGGCTAAAAATTCACTCACTGCTGAGGCTAAAAATCTGCCTCATTCTTCCAGTGGGGACACTAAAACTCTTTGATCTCTTTTCTGTGTTAATGCCTCTTTGCACCGTCATTTGCTTCTTTGGTTATGCATTTGAACTGTAAGAATGTTTTAGTAGTCTGATCTGCCCTTGGTTTCCTAGCAGATACCTTTCAAAACATATACTCCCCAGTCTGAAGAAGTCTAACAGAAGCGGTTTCACTCACAGGTATCGATCTGCCGCATAAATGCAAACGCAATGTGAAAGAGCAGTATATCGTCCACAACAACTGTAAATCAGCTGCTCCAGTCCCAGTGCCCTTTTGCGAAGGGACGTGCAGTACCTATTCTGTGTAAGTAGGAAACCTTTCTCTGCCCTTCCCCATGTCTGGTGTTCCTGGGTTCTTGTTGCTAATGGGCTGCAGCTGTTCGTCCCCTTCCTGCTGTTCAGAAGAGCCTGGTTGAGAAACTGGGTGTGCAGGAACAGCAGTCATTAGCAATGTCTTTAGTGCCTTAGTTAGGAAAATAGATCCCTTTGAAAAGACAACTAGCTGTTCTTAAACATGTTCTTACGTGTTTTTTTTTTAACAGCTCTGGTGCTTAGTGGAGTCTTTTCCTGCTCTTTGGTTTCTGCATGAATTGCTTCTTTCTGTCTTGCCAGAATGGGCCTCATCCAAAATCCACTGATGTTACTGGGATTTTCCCCATTGATATCAAAGGATCTGGCCCTGCATGGCTAATAGCATCCTGATAAAATATGCCATGAATAAGCAGAAAAACAGATAGGAAATTTTGTTCCTCTGCTTCTTAGAAGTATCTCCATTCGGAACATAAAATATGGATGAGTTTGTGAAAACAACACGCAGCAGACTGATGTGCAAATCTCATTTCTATAGGTATTCCTTTGAGGCCAATGAAATGGAACACAAATGCATTTGCTGCCATGAAAAAAGGAGTCATGAAGTGAAGGTGGAACTGGTTTGCTCTGAGCATAAGACAGTCCAATTCACATATATTCATGTAGATGACTGCGGATGTGTGGAAACAAAATGCCCAAAGAGGAGAACATGAGCATAAACTAAAAGAAACATTTCAGATCCCATTTAATGCTTCCCTAGCAAATGCTTCCCCTATAAAACAACTGTGAGTAACCTTCAAATGATCATACTTCACTCTTGTTCTTTTTCCTTTTAGTATTATATGCAGTTATGGAAATTAGCTGAAGATTTTGCTCTAAATGCTTGTAGAATAAATTGCATTTGAAAGAGGACATGTTCTCCTGTTTCAGTGATGCTGCTAACAGGGCAAGGTGGCTAATCTTTACATCCCATAGTGGTGTATAAACCAAGGTTATTACAAGACACTCTAGAGACAGCTGATGCCTTTCAAAAGTCCTGTCTGAAGAGAGTGCACATTATAAACCCATAAACACATGCATCACTTCATTTCCCTTAGAAGGGAACCCACAATCATTTCCACAGCTGCAGTTCAGCCAGAGGGGCAGGACTCAGCTCAGAGGCACATTTGCGTTCTTCTCCCCAGTGGTCCTGAACCTACTTTGGCTGTGACTCTGGGTCACTGGAGGAAAGCAAGGTGTTTTTTTCCTTCTGCACAGTGACCACAAGGAGCATAAAAATACAGTCTACATATACACTACAAAATTACTGTATTTGTACCCTTACGGTGAGTCCTTATCTCAGCAGTATTTTTTATTATTTGTCAACATCAAACTCTGAGCTGTGTGTGTGAGGTGAAAGACTGATGTTAGTCTCACTACTGGTTACATGACTATGATTTGTGTTATGAATGATTGACTCCCAGCTAGCATGATGCCAATATCTTATGTGGACAGAGATCAGAATGGTCCAACAATACCTTCAGAATACACAGGGAAGGCAGATGTTTCTGCTACATGGGTAGTTTGGTCTTTTATGACTTGAAAGAGAACTGACAACTGTGAGTCCTTTCTTAGAGAGCAGTGTCCTGCAGCCTGCTTTGTGGGGGCTCTTGGGAATTGTTCTCAGGAGAATGCTGCAGCTATTGAGCCCCAAGTTATCTTTAACATAATTCTTTTTCATAATAATAATTTTGACTGATATTGGGTTCCTTTCATGTATACTGCTTCATTATGGTGTTACTGATTTTAAAATTGTGGGAATCTTTGACAAAATTGTGGGAATCTTTGAATAGGCACTGGAGTTGAATGGTATATTCTTTTCTCCACTCTCACCTGAAAGTCCCATGCTCATTGGGTCATAATTGTATTGCAGTAGGGTAGTCTGTAATATGCCTCTGCAGGACTTAAATTGTTTCAACTAACCTGTCCTCCAGCTCATTCCTGGAATGATTTGTCTCAGCCTAAGACTGCTGTAAAAGCCCTTGGAAAGTCACCAGTTTCTCAGCCCTGGATATTTTGAGAGTGAGGGTAGCCAACTTAGCTGAAGTCGGATGAGGTGAATTTCATCCCTTGTTTTTATTCTATTTCCTTATAAACAATAAAAGAGATGCTGGGTGTACCTAACAATCACAGTGGGAATATGTATACTGCATGGACAACAAAATCCAACAAGATGTTTGTGCTGAAGAAATTAATTATAGAATCATAGAATCATAAAATATCTCAAGTTGGAAGGGACCCAAAAGGATCATCAAATTGAACCTAACTCTCTCATTCCCAGCCTCACAATAGTCAGTGGACTGCTTTGCTTGATTATAAATGATATGAATCTCTGAATAATTTTGTTAACTGTCAGTGCAGTGCAACTCCCTTAGAAGGTATGTATTGCAATTGCTTGTTAGTGAGACTCATGTGTGAATTTTGTATTAGCCCAGAAAAGGTGCTTACTGATACAAATCAAGTGCATCCATGCTTTTACAATTCAAAGAACAACTACAAAAAAGGACGTTATTTCCCACTTGCCTTTCCTGGAGGGGGAAGAAATAATTCTTGAATGCTTTTGTCACCAGAAGAGTAAACAGACTCTGTAAGTCAGATACACACTAATGTAAACTCTGCAAATCAGTCATTCTCAGCAGGATGGCTTAGCAAGAACACAATTAGAAGCCTTTTCCTTCTCTGCACTATCTTCAGGTGGAAGAAAGGCATAGATCACAATCCGATCTTATCAGGTGTACTTAGATTTCTGCTCTCCTGTGAGTTTTAGTGATGATGATGCTGTATACAGAAACTGGGAATAGCATTTATTTAAAAGTGTACTTTCCTGTTCGTTTTTGGCATGTATTCTTCTTTTCAGGCAAGTGAAATGCTGGAAAGGTGCATTCCCATCTCCAATATAGATATAAGATAGATATAAAGAAAAAGTTCTTTACTGTGAGGGTGGTGAGGCACTGGAACAGGTTGCCCAAAGAACTAACTGATAAACGCTCCATCGCTGGCGGTGTTTAAGGCCAGGTTGGAAGGTTGGACGGAGTCTTGGGTGACACAGGCTAGTGTGAGATGTCCCTGCCCATGGCAGGGGGGTTGGAACTAGGTGATCTTAAGGTCCTTTCCAACCCTAACTATTCTATGATTCTATGATCTCCAGAGTGCTTTTGAACTGAGAATCATGTGAAACCTCCCATGCTCATTCTCTGTTCCCAGTTACACCTGGCACTTCATTTATTCAGTCAGTCCAGCATCTAACTGGCCTATGCAATACTACTTTACAGCTCTGATAGCTGGGTATTAAAGTGAATTAGTTGATTATCTGTTTGCAGGTGCAGAGTCCTATGCAGACAGCAAGGCAAGGCCTCTTTAATGAGAACTTTCAGCTTTCTGAGCTTGGAGACAGTCAATGGGTCAAATATCTTCTCCCTCCATCCCCTGCCCTCCCAAATGCACAGAAACAAAAATCAGCCTGAAAGCTGCTCAGGAATGCATTAGGCTGGAAGCAAATAGGTACAATGACCCACTTGCAAGCTCATCCTTCTTGCTAAGTGGCTCTGCCTCTGCGTGCAACAGCATTGCCACTTTCACAGAGAAAGCTGGACTGCAGCTAGAGTCTATTTCATTCTTTACACTGTTGTCACAAGCTCCCCTCCAGAATGGCAAAGTTAAACACAGGCAGTTTTTCCAGGAAAAGCTTCCCTGTAAACACTTGACCACAATCCTACTGCTGCTGCTGTGTAACTGCTTCTCACGTGTGTGCACTGTCAAGCCCCCATCTGTAGCCCTAGGCCATATCTTCCAGTTTGTGACTATTCTCTGCAAGTCAAACATTTCCCTGGCGTAATTCAAGAAAATCAGTGGCATTTCTCCAAGTACTGTTTCTTCCTTTTGCGTGAATTCTTTACACCAGCGTCCACTTCAATAGGGTAACCCCAGGAGAACAAGCGTTCAGCTGAGCCAGTTGGGCCAGGGCTCAGCTGGTTTCAGCCTGTAGCCATTCTTTTCTTATCATGCAAGGATGGTAATCCCACTCACTGAACAGTTCTGAGGCAACACACAAGGAAGTACTGTCCCATATTGCTAAAATAAATATTTGCTGGAGATACTGCCTCACGTCAGGTGAACAAGTCCTAAAACACTTTTTCATGTCACTGGTGTACTCTGAGTCTGGGTTGCCATTATGAGATGAACTCTGACGTGCCTATTGGTTTGTGGCCCGGAAAGGTCAGTTCCCAACACTACTTTGACGTAGTTTATCAAAATTTTTCTTTGACTTTTGTTACCAATTACTGGGGTTTGCAAGGAAGAAAAAAAATTAAAGGTGTGCTCTGGATTTTTATTTGGGGAGAGGCACTGTTCTCTTACATATTTTTCCACTGAGCAGATCCCCTGACTGTGGAATTAGACCTCTAGTGTTATCTACAGTGTGTTGCATTGATATCAATCTATTCTGGTATCTAGAATCTCAAGCTGAAAACAAAGACTGTGAACTGTAAATGCCCTCTAGTACAGAAAGGATTGTTTAAAAGAATGCTGCACCTATTTTGTTTCAGTTTACCGTCTTAACAATTAGAAAGTTGCAAAGTAAACATAGAAAAATCTGTCTAAATATCACTTAGGAAAGTTATCTGATTAGTAATGAACCAGAAAAGATAATAATCTGGAAAATTCGATGGATTATCTTTCAGGTAAGGGGGAGACTAAGCATTTTGTGGTCTGAGAGCTGTGATGGAGTCTTCTACAGCTTGCTGTGCTCAAATATGCGTTCTTGGCCTTGTTTATATTTCCTTTCTGATCTAAGATAAGGATAAATATAGGCCTTTATTTCTCTTATGTGACTATAATGCTTAAATTCAGAAAGCCTTTTTTCAGTAGTATAAACCACACAAACCTGAACTTGCTTTTGTCAGGCATCCTAAACATCCTTTAGGAGAAAAAACTGTGACAATTTTCCAAAGACACCGAGACAAAAGTATCAGTTGTGAAAATCTTTCTGGTTTTTACACTTCAAATCCTCTGATCATTCAGTATCTTTAGGGCAACCATGGAGTCTCAGTTTACCTTGTACAAGACCATTTTCACATCCATTTCACTCTTTGACAACTGCAATCCCTCCCTCAGGAAAGCAACCCCATAGGCGGTGTGCCCAGGCAATTGGCTTTGTGTCAATAGAAGGCCAGGCTTTGACCATGAAGCTGCAGAGAGGCTGTAAATTCTTATGCTCTTTTCCCTAGGTGTGAAGACCCAGTTTTCATCAGTAGTCTTTCAGTTTAATTGATGCTCACTGGCTTCAATATAATGATTTTTTTAATGCAAAAGGAATCTGTGAAGTTGCTTCCTGTAACTGTAGGTTGGCACCTGTTTATAAATATCCCTATTTTACTCAAGCTTGCTTTCTGTGAAGGCCTGTTTTTGAAATAGCATGCTTGGTGGAAAGAAAATTAGCTACTGATCCTTCAGTGGATCCACTCCAGTGAGGCCTCCCACCTGTTCTGAGTGAAGAAATCAAGGAGGACTGGATGGGATGACTCTGGTTCATTCCACCTACCCAAAAAAGTGTGTATAAAGTAGGACTCTAATCTTTTTGTATAGTTATTGAAATAGCTATGCATCTTACATGATAGCTCAGCTGCCTTCTGGAAATGCCTCCACCTCTCCCTTTTATTCTTAGAATCATAGAATCATAGAATAGTTAGGGTTGGAAAGGATCTTAAGATCATCTAGTTCCAACCCCCCTGCCATGGGCAGGGACACCTCGCACTAAACTATGTGGCCCAAGGCTTTGTCCAACCTGGCCTTGAACACCACCAGGGCTGGAGCATTCACAACTTCCTTGGGCAACCCATTCCAGTGCCTCACCACCCTCACTGT